GTGTGTGTGTGTGTGTGTGTGTGTGTGTGCGTGCATGTGAAAGTTCCGATGTACTCCGGGATCACTGTGGAGTAAAGAGCTCTCCATCAAGGGGACGCTTCACTCTGCTCATCACTTTGCCCAAAGACAACCTTTGCCCCAGCTGTTCCTGAGTGGCCCCTCCCGGCAATGAGATCTGCGGGCGGGAGGGGCGGAGAAGCTGTGGGAAGCTGCTGCTTGCCTGCCTGTGCATTGGACATTTGGAGGCACAGATGGAGGGCTGCAGCCCCCACATAAACACCATGTGGGTGTTTTTCATAATTGGCTGAGTGTTTGAAAGGGAAGAGCATGCTCATATCATGTGCCTCTGACAGTAGCGTCTGTCCCTAAAATCTCCCCTTGTCTCTCGCGCCTGCCATCAGTTTGGGAGTTTCATAGAAGCATAGCATGGAAGGGCATCCTCTCTGCCACTCAGGCATTCCTGAGAGAGGGTGCCCCTCCAGCCGAAAGAGCCCCCACCTCTCTAATCCTGATCCTACACTTTGCCTTTGTCTTCCTGGCCACCTGCCGTTAGTGAAATGCTTCCTCAAGCCGTTTTCTGCCCAACATTATCCAACTTATCAAGATCCTTCTGAAATCAATGCTCTCAGGTAGCTGTTATCCCTCCAATGGTTGCGTCATTGCTGAAATTGGATATCCTGTTTCCTAACATTTTCCCAAGTCATGTATTGTATATATGTAATTGCAGGGCCCCCTCCGCCCTCCCCTCTCCCTGGATGGCTTTGACCCTCGCTGGGTATAACTGTCCCACCAGCTCCACCCCTCTCGTGATTGCAGCCCCCTGGCCCACCTCTCACCCGCTTCTTTGGATCTCCTGGCCACTTGGGCAAGGCTTTGCCAAACACCAGATCTCCAGCATCTGCCACATGCTGCTTGGTCAGCTGAGGTCAGCCTTTGAAAAAAAAAGAGATCCAGTTCAGCTTGGAATATTTTATTCCCAAGTAATCCATGTTGCATCTTACCAAGCAGCACATTCTTTTCCAAGTGCTCAGGGGGGAAGAAATCCTATTTAATAACCTTTTCCAAAATTTTGCCTGATGTTGGTTGCATCAGGAATAATGGAATTATGGATGGAAACTGAACAAGGAGAGATTCAACCTGGAAATAAGGAGGAATTTCCTGACAGGGAGAACAATCAACCCATGGAACAGAAGTTGCCTTCAGAAGTTGTGGGAGCTTCACTACTGGAGGCTTCCAAGAAGAGACTGGACTGCCCTCTGTCAGAAATGGGGGAGGGTCTGCTTGGGCAGGGGGTTGGACTAAATGACCTCCAAGGTCCCTTCCAACTCTGTTAATCAGTATCTGCATGCTGAGTGATTTGTGGTTGCCCAGGTCCTCTTTACCCCCATTTTGAAGAGGGGACCAAAACTGACCATCCTCCATTCTCTGGCACTATTCTAATCCTCCAAGATGACGTCCTGCTGGCAACCCTTTCAAGAGCCATTGGTCTCATCCTGAAGACTTCGACTTGCTTTGGCCCAGCCAGCCCCCCCCCCACCCCATTGCTTCTCTCCACTTGTGCCCCTCTCTTCAGTTCTTCCTTCTGGACAAGGGTCCCCTCCGGAGAAGAGATGGGTGAGCCCTGGCACCACTGCTCCATCCCCCATCCCCATCCCCTTCCTCCTCTGTACCCATGACCCCCCTGGCTTGATCTGTTCAGGTCTGCCCAGCAGAAGGAGGAAGACGTTACCTGAGCTGAAGCAAACCAAGACAACAGCCACAGTATTGAAAGCCTTTTGCCAGACTGGGGCGTTTGCTTTGCATTTTGGAAACTGAGGCAGTTCAGAACAGGCAAAGCCCCTCACGGAGTTAGCCAGCTTTATCCTCACCAGCGATTTTGTGGGGCAGGTGGCCGGGTGAACATGGGAAGCAAATAGGCATCCTGGCCTGGTCAAAAGCGGCCGAAAGAAGAGGAGGCGGAATTTATGGCCTTCTGGTGGGGAGCCAGGCAGCCAATTAAGCAAACTCCACCAATTGGGTTGATTTATTGCCATCCTGTTTGTGCCACTGAGCAGGACATTGCCAGCAGCTGGGAGGATGGTGATTTTGGGCAGCAGATTCTGAGCAAGGGAGAGAGCTCTGGGATTCCTCTTGCAGAAACGTCTTTCTGACCGAACATTTGGCTGGGATTGACACATGGATTGGACCCCGTTGGGATCTTGGACAATCTCCTCTGATGAGTTACTTCCATGGATTTTCACCCCCTCCAATGGAAGAACCCCAGGCGATGCTTCCCTGTGTCCCAAATCAGATGCAACTGAAGCAGCGTGAATTCATGGGCATCCCCAAGATGGCTTCCCCTGGGACTGGTTCTCCTGTTGATGACGTTTTGCCTGAGGAAGACCCCCGTGGGGATGGTGGGAGCCCCTCCCTTTGTCTCTGTGTCTCTGGAGGGCTTTGGAAGACACTGCCTGGCCTGGGCTGATGCCGCCCAAGAGCCGTGATTGGAAACTTCACCTCTGAAACATCTCAGCCAAAGGAAATGTTTTCCTTCGTGCTTATTGCCCTCCTCTTCCTCCTCTTCCTGGCAACAGACTAGCTATAAAGATGCTTTTAACGCAGTTAATTATTTATGTGGCTAGCAAAAATAGACCCTGCAGCCATTCTTTGGAACACAAAGTGCTTGGAAAAACCCGAGCAGCCTCCGAGCTGTTTTAAACAGCCATGTTAGAGAGTCCTGCAGTGATTTGTCAGATGGGGGGGGGGGTTGGCATTGCCTGCTTCTCTGAAGGGGGTCTTGAAGGGAGAGGAGATGGGCATCCCTACATCCCAGCTCCATGGCTGCGTAGAGTCACAGTTGGGTTCAGGTTCAGGTTCGCCCCTGTCGGATTCTGCTCGCCAGCAATGTCTGCTTGTGGGGGCGGAGCACCATTGAGCCACCTTTCTTGCTGCAGTTGTGGGAAGTCAGCTTGTTCTCAGACAAGCCAGGATGATTCCAGGCAGGGGTGGCCATGGGCTTTCGGTCCTTGCAAAGAGAGAGTTTATGTCCTAGAGGGAATCCCTCGGGGGATTTTAGGGGACCAGGTGAGAAATAACCCCTGCTTCCCTCTCCAGTGTAAGCGGTATGATGTGGGTGAAGCCTTCCAAGGGGGGCACAGATGCCCCCAGCCTTGTCGGAGCCCCTTTGCTTTCAGAGTTGAAACTCCTTGCTAGCCACTCCGTGTCTTTGTCACTCCACTCCACTTCCCACTCACCTGCTCCATGTCTTTGTCACCTGGGGCTGCGAAGTCAAATCGATGTCAGGAGAAGCTGAGCAGACCCCCCCCCCCCCGAGCAGTGGGTAAACGCCGTTTGCAACTGGCAGTTCTGGGAGATGCACAGATGGTGGCCACAGCGCTTGGCTGCCCCTGGAGCCCTTGGCGAAGTGACTTCCCAAGTTTGATGGCGTGGGAAAGGAGGCCAGGCCAGGCTCCCCATTAGGGGATGGGCTCTTCTCTTCCGAGGGAACTGCTGGTGGTCAGGGGTCCCCAGCCGCTCCTTCCCTTCCCCTGCCCTGAGCCCGAGCAAGCCCTGCGGAGGGAGCTCAGCTCAGAAGGACAGTCTGGTAGGGGGTGGGATCACATCTGGGAAACGGCCTACTTGAGCTCTGAACTGGTGGCTCAATGGAGTGAGAATCTGAATGGTAAATTGGGACAGTCTTGCTAGAACCTTGATTTCGGTGCAGATTCAACTCAGGGACCCCATTCACAGCATGCTGCAATGGCCTGCCTTGCAAGGTGGGTTTTGTCTGAGATGAATGCAAATGAGATGATTACTGATTATTGATTATGTGAAGTGCTTTCTTAAAACTGCTGGTGGTTTGCTTCAGAAGGCCATCTTCCTTCTGCTCCCTTCCACCTTCCTTGCTCCCCCTCCGCTTGCTAAGCTTTTCTTCGGTTCTTTGAGACCTGCCTTACACGCCCTCTCTCCTGTGCCCAACCAGGTGTTGCCTACCAACCCTGAGGAAAGCTGGCAGGTGTACAGTTCTGCTCAGGACAGTGAAGGACGATGCATCTGCACAGTGGTAGCACCTCAACAGACGATGTGCTCACGGGATGCCAGGACAAAGCAGCTGCGGCAACTCCTGGAAAAGGTAACTTGGTATGGTGGCTCTGGAATGCATAACCCCCCCTCTCTGTCTCTATATATATCTATCCATCCTCTCTGTGTGTGTGTGTGTGTGTGTGTGTGTGTGTGTGTGTGTGTGTGTGTGTCTGTCTCTCTCTAATCTCTATCT